GGGTTGATGAATTGATAACAAGCTTCGTATTCAATTCTATTTGAATCTCTCGTTGCAATCTACAAATTGAATTCTGTTATATTTATTGATACTCTTAGTTAAGTTTCTCAAAATCTAACTAAGAAAATAAAACAAATTTATTGATCAAGGTTCGCATATATAAACATGTTTTGGATTAGTCATCATTCGTGCCTATGGGCTGTATTCTTGAGCTAACCTACGCACTATAAATAAAGCTAATTATAAGAGATTTTCTGTTATATTTTATATTCGTTTCACAGAATAAAACCATTTTGGTAATCATGTAACATGTATGGACCAGATCTTCGTTCTTATAAACCTCATGTTTATATAGTTCCGCAGCTTTTGAAATTTATAAAAACGTGATTAAATTAGTGTTAGTCACTAATCAACAACGTCCTTTTGGTCATGATGCCACTCAGTGGCTACAACAATGATCACCATATTAGATTAGGTGTGTCTAATGATATCACTATCAGAATCAATTATTCATCGATTCTTTATTCTTTATTGAATGGGAATCTAAGACCATTGTTATTTCAAATTTATTCCACTGCTCATGTGCTCGTATAAGTTTTTTTAAAAACTAGGCTATTAAAAAGTAAACACTTTCAAAATACAAAATGTAAAACTGTCATCAACAAAAAGATTAACATATGAGTTTGAAAGTTGTTTGATTTTTTTTGTTATGTAGTCCATTACTCCCTTATTATGTAAGGTTAATTTATTTAATAACCGAAAAGAAAAACTAATTAAGTACGTAACCAAAAACCCTAAATTTCGTAATTGTAATTGCGCCACATAGATGATTTTTGGTTACTTGCTTAATTAATGTATTTTTTTTTTGTTATTGGGTAAATTTACCATGTTATGTATAGAGGTTAGTTGCATATTGAAACCAAATTGCCATTTTATGTTTATATTTTTTTTGGGAAAATTCCATAAAAATACCCCAACAAAATTCCAATAAATTTTTTAATACCCAAACTTTTTCGCTACCCAGTTTAATATCCAAACTAATTAAGTTGATCCATTTAATACCTCCAGTTTCAACTTATACCCATTTAACTTCACAGAGTTAACAGAAAGATAATGTCAATTATCTATTTATTTTTTAAAATATAATATTTCTATTTTAATCAAAAATAATAATAAAATTGAAAAAATCCTCAAAAGAGTTCCGAAAAATTCGAAAAAATCCAACAAATTCTAAAAAACAATTATAAATTATAAAAATTAAAATTTCTAAAAAATTAAAAAAATTTTGGTAAAATTCAAAAGTATAGTTTAAATTAGAATTTTCAAAAAAACTTAAATTTACAAAATAAATAATTTGTTAAGATAAAAATTAAATTATATTTTAAATTAGAAATTATTAAAATCAAAAATATATAATTGTTATTAGGCTAATTTTCTAACTTGTAGATTTATTTGTGTAATTGGAGGTAAATCTATTTTAAAATTATGATAGATTTATTTGTGCAATGATAGAAAATTTATGCGCATTAAAAATAAAATTGAAGAACTAGAGAATCAGATTCGGTACATTACAACGGGATAATAGCGAGTATGTTAGCCCTAAGATGTGTACGACCGCGAACCAAATTTTGTGAATTTTGGTCGTGCGCCGATCAACGCAAGGAGTGTGCGTCGATCGAAGCAATGTTAAATTGAACCGGGTTGGTTCGATTTTGAATCGTTTGGTTCGGCGTATTGGTTAACAGAGCCCTAGGGCTCGGGTATATAAAGGGGATGGCCGCGTTTTTCGTCGTTTTAAGTTTCGAGAAAGTTTCCAGAGAGTTTGAGAGAGGATTAGAGAAAAAATGAAGAATCATTGTTGATTTCTTCGTGTTCATGATCCTAAAAGCTCGTGGTTGTGTTTGTAAGGCAATTGGAAATCGTTTCTGGTGTTTGTTCTTGCAATTTACGAGAGAATTTTTGATTTGGAGATCCATGTTCTTCGTGTTCATCGCGTTCTTCGTAGTTTTCTCATCCTTTTCCTTCCAGATC